TTCTCCATTCAGCAAAAGGGTTTCACAACCACTTTTGATTCTTACAAGGGAGTCCCCAACGTGATAGGATTAACTTTCGAGTGGCATTGTATAACCAATTTTAATCGAAAACAAGAAGATAATCAAGAAGACATCGACAGAGGATCATTACTTTAGCGGTAAACGGAACGAATTCATCAAACAAATTTGCAACTACTCCACGGCATATTCAGTTATTCTGTTGATCAACTAGTCAGACTTCAATAAACAATTCAACGACACAAACAACGAACCTCTGAAAAGAAAGTGAACCCATCGACTGAAACGAGTATCTTGAAGAAGGCAGCCAGTTATTGACCAGCAGAAGGAAGACCACCGAAGGATCTGGATAACTAGGATACTGTTTGAAGAGAACTCTGGAACTATTCGAAGAAAGCAGCTGCTTATTGACCAAAAGAAGGAAGACCACCGAAGGATTTGGATAAGTAGATTCTGTGAAAGAAGAAATTCCCAGTGTTTAACTGATTATTTATTTTAAGAAAACCATAAGCTTGCCCTGGCAAAGAGACCAGCGACCAAAGTATTATTTGTTTCTTTTTCAGAGCAACCGTTTGTTTAGGTATCGAAGGAGCGTCAAGTAAGGAAAACTAGGAAAATCAATCAAAATCAACATGAGTCTACCGTTCAGTACACCAGATTTGGAAGATGGATTTGCACCATCAACCCCTTTTAGGAACCAATTTTACAGCCGACCTTCAGGATCATCTTCAGCGTTCAATTGGAATCCGGAACTACAATGCAACTTGAAGACCAAAAGCCAATGACCAACTCAAATCCTTGTGGAACCTAGCCTCTTTTATGATTTAAATCATTTTATGACGTTTCAAAATCGATCTCTTGGACAATTTTTGCGGATGAAAGAATCAACGATGACGTACCAAACAGCTGGATCGATTGATGTGGAAGAATGAACAATGGAACGAATGACAATGTTAGCGATTTAACAATTGGTGTGACTCGACGATGGAAATGAAGAACACACCCATAACACTAGATGTATACTCTGGCGGATGAAGATCAAAACCTATTTAATTAGTTGTACATATAAACAAACAAGAAGACACTCCAATTGGAAGAAGAAGTCTGAAGAACCTTGGATTTGGACAACTCACAATCTGGAATAAATAAGAAGAACCCTCAAGAAATTTGGACCTTGAAAGCAAATAATCAACCTCAGGGAAAAATATATTGAAGGAGTATCAAATAATTCTTAAAATGTCTCTTAATTATTTTGAAAAGTTGGGGGAGGAGCTCACATTCCTTTAGAATTCACTCATTTAAAGCCTTCCTCACTCCCCTAGTTCTGATATCCCCTCAATTAATCAGTAGAACACTTGCTTCAAGTCTACAAAATCCATAAAATAGCACAAATTAATCAGCTAAATCATCAACTTACAAAATAAAAACACCACTAGTAGACATAAATTTTTAAAGTTGGGGGAGGAAAATTCCATAGTTCACTCACATTATTAATGTCCCCAATTTACCCCATCTCATTATCCTTAAGTTTCTTTTATCAAAAGACACCTTTACATACTTTTTATCTTATAACCAGGTTTTATTTTCATACTCTTGAAAAATTTCTATATCAGTTTCTTTAGGTTTCTTTATTATCTCAAAGTATTTTCTGGATTGAATTTCTATATCAGTTTCTTATCATCTCAAAGTGTTTTCTGAATTGGAATACTATATAAGTTTTTTTATTACCTCTAAGTTTCTTCTGGATTGAATATTTCTCTTTTAGTTTCTTGATCATCTCAAACTCTTAGCTGGATTGAATATTTCTCTTTTAGTTTCTTGATCATCTCAAACTCTTAGCTGTATTGAATTTCTCTTTAGTTTCTCTATTATCTCAAACTCTTATCTGGATTGAATTTTTTCCTCTTGAATCCCTATTTCAGTCTCTTAATTTTTTGTATAAAACTCACATTCTGGATTGAATTTATCTATCAGTTTCTTTATTACCTCTAAGTTTCTTCTGGATTGAATTTATCTTTTAGTTTCTCTATTATCTTAAACTCTTATCTGGATTGAATTTCTCTTTTAGTTTCTCTATTATCTTAAAATCTTATCTGTATTGGATCTCTATTTTGGTTTACTTTTAGTATCTCAAACTTCTGGATTGAATTTATCTTACAGTTCTTTTATCAGCTCAAACTCTTATCTGGATTTGATTCTTCTTCTAGATTCTTGGACCAATTTTAGCTTTAGGACGGCAACGGACACAACCAATCAGTCAAATGTATTAAACCCTCACAAAATTGGATATATCTCTTTTGGATTCGATCAACAACTTTTTCCTCCATCAAATCAGGACTCGGCAACGTACCAAATTCTCAGCCTCTTCTCATTGGCCTGCTCCTCCGCAAAAACAACTCAACCTTAACCAACATTCCTATCATCAACTCATCACCTATCTCAATCAACTATCATCAACTCATCACCTATCTCAATCAACTATCATCAACTCATCACCTATCTCAATCATCAGATCAACTCATCATCAATCTCAAACATGGGACTAAAATCCATCACCTGACTCAAAATCATCAACCTTAACCAACATTCCTATCATCAACTCATCACCTATCTCAATCAACTATCATAAAATCATCACCAATCTCAATCACCTGACTCAAAACCGTCACCATTCTCAAACACCAAACTCAACTCATCACCAATATAGCAAACAACCAGAAGCCAGGATCTAGCCGCAAGAGAATTCTGGAAGCAACACCAATTAAATCCCAGTCAAAACCTCAAAATTTCTTCAGAAAATAGCTTCAAAACACAGTCAAAGTCAGAATTGACTGGGGACAGCCAATAAGTTGGGGGAGGATGTGGTAGTTATTCCTGTGTTTCTACGCTAAAAATATAAAAATTTATTCTCATCTTTTTCTACATCAGATATAAGGTAAAATAAACATCAAAAATGGATTCCTGAGGTAAAATAACCCCTAGTCACCCACTACAACTACCCCCTTATCTCTATTAGTTCAGAAGTTACACCTATTTCAACCTATCACAGGATATCTCTTGGATCCTTTACTCTGACTATAGCTCAATTTGAATACTGGATGCTTATTGGATATTGAGTTCCTTTGTTTCATATTGAATTCCTTTACTAGCTCATATTACCTATTGAATTCCTTTGTTGGTGCACATGCATTCCTTTGTAGCAGGACATTTTAGGCCAGCCAAAATCCCTCAAGGCTGTGCTATCACTAGCTAAACTCCCTCAACTGCATGTACTAGAGTAGCTAAATTCCCTCATTGGATAATCAGGCCAGCTAAATTCCCTAACCTGCATGTACCCTGGAGCTAAATTCCCTCACTTTTGTCTATATAAGGAGGCCTCTGCCTGCCAGTTGTATTCCCTCCTCATCAGATGCTCTGTAGTCAGTCCCCCTCATAACACTACATCACTGGTCACTCTTCAATATTATTAGCTACCTAGTATTGAGGTTTTATAATTATAAACCCCCTTATATATTATAACAGTTTATAGTGTAGAAATATCAACATTACTTTTTTTTCATAACCACTAAGCTATCTCACCTTTGCCTGAAATCCACTGCTTTTTGCCCTTATACACCCCAACCGCAAGGACCTGGGTTCAATTCCCATTCAAGACATCCACTTTAACTCCACTTCAACTCCATCTTAACTCCACCTTAACTCCAACTTACCTCCACCTGCGCCTGGTCCTCCGTTCCATTCCTGGTCGAAGCATAAAATTTATATACCATCAACCTCGAGGTTGCGCGTTCAAGCCTCACTCTCAACACTTATCATTGACACCTCTATCAACAACAATCATCAACACCTTCAACCGTTATACGTATCATTCAACAGCTTCATCTCGAACTATCCTCTATCACGATATATAAACTGCCAAGCTGAGCTTGGTGGTCTTGTTGTTCTGATAGCATAGAAGGGCAGAGCTTGCAACTCCATCATCCCCTTCTCCATTCAGCAAAAGGGTTTCACAACCACTTTTGAGTCTTACACCGCCTCCGTGTCCTTCTCTTCCTCTGCCACCTTTGGGGGGAGTGTTGCCCCCTTCATCTTGATTTTGAGCTTGAGCTGTGGCTGAGTTCTTGCGGAGGCTTTGGGTTTATTAAAATTCTCTGGGGATTCACATTTGATTGCTGACAATGACATCAGATTGTCTGCCTTCTGGTCTTCCATCATCAGATTGTTTGATTGTTGACTTTCCAATATCAAATTAGTCATATCCTTGTCAAAGGACCCAAGTAATGTGGAGAGGCTAGCAAAAGGTGTGTAACCGGTGGCATGTGGATAATCCAATTTGATTTTGGAAATCATCTCGTCAACATATGCCTTCTCAGTAGGAGACCATCTGCGAGAGTACTGGAGCCAGCTGGTGAAGGGAGCAGGTCCGCCAAGCTTACTAGGATCCGAAGTGACAAAGCGGGCGTAAGTTGTAACCATCGTTCTCCTGATCATTGTGCACCCAAACACCAACCATCCCACCAAGGCCCTTGAGAACCTTGCACCAATAATGGCTCCCATTCCAAAAAACCCGTGCAAAAAGTGTATATCTCACACCCAAGATAAATATTGTTGGTGGCCAGTTGATTTTTGCCATGAATTGTTGTTGTTCAATGTGATCCGTGATTGCAGGAACATTGACGAAAAAATAGAGATGTGGAGGGGCCTCTTTTTTTGGAAAGCCTAGGATCGAGTGCTCTTTGTAAAAATATACTGGGGTGATGCTGTCTTCAGGCTCACAGATACCAACCTCGGATGTCAAGGGCTTGAACCTTTGAGTAGTAACCTTCCCATTTTCAGCAATGCAATACTTGCATTGAAGTCCGCATGAACCATGCAACCCAACCGAATTCCATTGTCTCAAAAGCTCTGAAACGTTTTCATGACATATTCTGTTGTCATCAAAAGCGCTCCTGCGGATGTTGATGATATACAAGTTTCGGGTAACACGCTGAGTCGAGGCCGGATGAATGTTACAAGATAGTATCCGTTTCTCTTCCACTTCAAATAGGCCTTTCAGGGCTTGGTTTGGATTGGCTTTCGGATCCAACACAAGCTCAATGAAAAGGTCAGCAGAGGCAAATTTGCCTTCAATAAAGCTATGTGGTGACCAATTTTGGGCTTGAATAAACAGGGATGATTGGGCCTTGGTCAGGACACCCCGAATACTCCCAAGATTGGTTAATTCAAATGTTGTGCAAGCGGAGAAGTGCTTGACAAGCAAGGTGAACATTGATGTCCCTGTCCTGCTGGACCCGCAATGCCAAAGAGGACTGTAAAGAGAATATAGTGACTCTAGAGCTGCCGCCATCCAGCACCAATTAGCCAGATGTGCCTGACTTGATGCTCGATAGGAAGGATAAGTGGAGAAAGGATTCCGATCAATGTTAACCAATCCGGAAGGTCTCCCAAGCTTTTTCTTGGCAAGCTCTGGGCAGAGAATCGGAGCCTGCGCGAAGTGCGGAAAATTTCCGCGCGGATATGGTAGGTTGCGGAATTTTGTACTGAGATGTACAGACCAAGAGAGCTGTACAGACCAACAGGTCCATCCGTATTGGGAGGCGGGTTTTGGACTGGTTTCATCAGTGGGCTGGTGTCGGTCATGTATCATCATGCAATAATAATTAAGGATTTTTGAGAAAATAAGCACGACTACAGAAGCTGCCTGGATCTGTTAGTATGTACTGAGCTATTTGGGAGGGAAGATCGTCGTTGCTCAACAAGCTCAATGATTCGGCGCGGGATTGGTCAGCGGACTAGGAGTGAGCGACGGAGAAGCGGGAGGACTGGCAATGGGCAGAATGAGCAGCGGTACTGTTCCTTCTGACGGAGAGCGACTTCGGGATCCCGGCGCGCTCAAGGACGGTGGGGGTGGAGAGGTCATAGTGCTGTTATTCTCCCTCCATTCTGTCCTCAGTCTTGTCGGCATCCTCATCTGACCCCTCGCGAGGACCACGGGGAGTGAAATCACTACCAGATGCCTTGACCGATGCCGGCCAATCGATCTTGAGCTGATCGAGTTCAGCCATGATGGTGGCCCGCTTCAATAGACTAATAAATCCATCAGACGGGTTGGGCTCGGTCGCCAAGGCCATCAATTTATTGAGGATATGACCAGTAAGCGCTGATATCTGAGCAGCTGAATTCAATGTTCTCCTTTTTTGAGCAATGCATGTTTTTTTTCCTTTGATGCTGTTGGAAAGACCTTTCCGCTTTGGGATTTTGAAACAGATGTGCTAGTAGAAACCTTCCGGAGTATAAGCTGTATTTTCCGCGGTTTCCGCACTTTCCGCACTTTCCACCTTGCCTCGGGGAGGCTCCGATGCTCTCGCTCTGGGAGAAGTCCATTGGTAGTATTGGGTGCCCTTCCATCATTCACAAATGTGTGTCAAACTTTCTGCTCTCCGACTGGCTTGGCCGGATTAGGGGCTCTCTTCCTTTTTTTTTCCCATCCTAACGATTGTGCAATGTCTGTTTGCCCTTTGCGTGCTGCACCATACTCAATCGATACACCTCGCATGACAGCATCGAAGTCTTCCTCCAGGACTTTGATGAAAGAATAAAGTTGTACCATTCCTAACATGAGGCATTTTGCCTTCACTGAAAACAAAAAACGGGCCACTTGGCCCTCAATATCCAGCTGAAAATAAACATGATAAAGGAGCAGACGTACGAAAGCATGTAGTATAATCAATGGAGGCTCTCCTGTGCGTTTGTTGTCTTAGTCGGTCTCTCATTACCCTCTGGAGTAACTTCAAGTTTGGGCCGGCGCGATGGGCAGAGCATGGACTCAACCTCGGCCATGGTCCACCAATCAAGCCAATGTTTGGCCTTTGGGAAACGTCTGCGTAATGCATCAATCTTCTCCTCATGGCTGGCATTGCCTTCTGCAGGCTTTTTGATGAGATCCATGCACATCTGCTGGAACGTGCTCTACATATCAATGGCATCATAATTAGCTGCTGAGACTTTATCCTCATTGAGGAACAGACAGAAATGATACATACCTCCTCGTCAGCCATAACAACATGGCGGTTCCTCTTGACCTGCGTGACTTGTGCTTGGTAATGTTCATGACATCCCTGGAGTTTATTGAGTACAATCATCTTGTCACACTTCCCGAAAACTTCCCAATATGCGGCCACAAACCCCTCCCGTTGTGCTGCCAAGAAGTCAACTATGTTGCAGACAAGTATGTCCCGTTCGGCTTTGGTAAAATCAGACACCAGGAACTGATGGAATAAACCCGCAAAGTGAACCTGGTAATAGCGTTCAGCCAGCCCTCTGATCCAAGTGAGTTGGATGGGTATCCATCTTGCTAGTTCTTCGCAGTACATCGATGTTGAGAGCAAGTAGCCGTTTTGAAAGAATCGATAAGTCACATCAGAAACCAGCCCAGTGCTGTAGACCTTGTGATCAATGTCGCGCGCCAATAGCCGCTTCTGCATCCATTCAGATTGGAAGGTGAAATGTTCCTCGCCTTCCAATTAAGAAGACAAGATGATGAGCATCCCACGCCTGGAAAAAAACCCAAATCAAAACTCAGTCAAATGTATCAATTGCAACAGAGAAAATCAGTAACAGACATGACCCATTTGAACATGTTCGTGATGAACTGATCCCCAACACTGCCTAGTGTTTTCATCAGGTGTATGGGCGCCGAATGGTGTCTACCTGTCTACCTTGTATAGGGGAGAGGTAGAACAGGTAGACCATTGGTCATTGGGCCTTTGCCTATTTTTTTGAAAATTATTTACTGAGGTAGACTTTGATCCAGCCCAGGTAGAAAAATAATCCAAAAAAAGTGGCTGGTTGATGTATCTAGACTGTGTAATTGTGATTTTGCATGATGTGCTGATGTATTCAGACTGTTTAATTTTAAATTTCCATGATATGAACTGCAACCAGGTAGAAAATTAAGCTGTACCCATACAGAAATATTAATTCTCCATGATATGACAAGCAACCAATTAAACATTTAAGCCATAAAAATCACAAATGAGTCAGTAAGATGAAGTAGGTAGTGGACTTAGATTCTACCTGGATAACTGATTCCTCCAGGTTGAAATTGATTTGTGAGATAGGGGCTAGTAAGAGCATATAATTTGTAGGGTATCTGCCTATCTTGATAGAGAAAAGGAAAAATAAAGCAATGTGATTCTATCTTGAAAAGTAAACGAGAAAAATAAAGCAATGTGTTCAAAGGATGCCCCAAAAAAGCTATTGACCTAGTGGCAAATTACTTTGAAAAGAAGGTCAGAGTACCTATTCGGGCTCACTGGGTGAGCAGGCACCAATCACACAACAGAATTGGTGGGAAAAGAAGAGGAAGTTGTAGATAATTGTTTGCCATAGCTCAAAATTCTGCCAGTCCATCTGAAATAGCTGAAAAAAGTGCATTGACCTGAAGGTGAAAGTATTTGAGAGAGAGGTTCCAGTGAGTATCTGGTTGAGTGGTATGTGCTCCAGAGGGTGCATTCTCTCAATTCACCAAAGAATTATTTTTCTAGAAGTCCTTGGAACAAGAACCGGTATTTCACGGTGTCAGATTGTTGAGATAACACCCACCTTCTTCTACTGGGAGTTTTATTTCTTACCAATTATTTATTCTTGTGAGTTTCCTTCCCTTGTTAATTGTCTCTCTGGTGTCTCTTTATCTGATTGTTTTCTTTCTATTCCTGTATCAAAATTTGTGAATTTGATCATATCCATGCCCTTGATTGGTGAGTATAATTCAAAAGCACTGTGGAATTGAGCAGGGAAAGTGAAAAAAAGCCCATTGACCTAGAGGTGACAGGTCTTGACAGGGAGGTCCTAGTAATTTGTGGCTGAGTTGTATGTTCTCCAGAAGGCACACTGTGGCACTTGAGGAAACAGTATGGCTAATAATGTTCCTAACACCCCCACCCCTTGGAATGAGCCCTCATTCCTCAGACCCCTTCAGACCCTTTTAGTATGGGGGTCTGAGGGGTCTGAGGAATGAGGGTCCCTCCCCTCTTTCTGGTACCCCAAACCACCAGTTTTTTCTGTTTTTTTGGGGTTTTTGGGTTTTTTGGGGTTTTTCTGGTTTTTTGGGTTTTTTGGTTTTTTTGGTTTAGACGGTTCTGATCGTTTATGATCGTTTTCGCGAGGTTAGAACGTCGCGGCCGCGACGTTCTAACCCCTCGTTTTGGGGGTTTTTTTGCATGGCTAGAACGTCGCGGTGTGGTAAGAGCAATCAAACCCCTACCACATAAATAAAAGTATCTTATTACACATAAACAGTGATTAAAACATTAGAGGAGAAGAGGTAGATTAGGGAATAAACCACATAAATATTACTGGGCTAAGTTGTAGTTTAATTAAATCACGAATCAGGCCTAAAAATACTCAATTTATCATAAATAATAAATATACAAATAGCCTGTAAAAATAAATAAAAGACACTACAGCTATCTTAGATTGGTAAATCAAGCTACTAATCAGAAAGTGCTTCACAGACTAGATCTAGAAAATAACTCTTATACTAGTTAGTCCTAGAATACCCATCTCATAGTAATTAATCTAAGAATAGGCATCTTATAGAAGAATTACAACCTCTTGTATTAGAAGGGCACTTAGAGATTAATTCATATCAGATTAGCCCATCTCAGAGTAGTAAAATCCACTCTAGAAGTACCTTTCTCAGACGCACTTCTGTTCAGGCCAAAATCTCATGTACTGCAGACCCATTTGTCTATAAATAGAGGCTCTTCTGGCCCAGGTTTTCCTCTTCCCTCCTCATGTTTGCACCAGAGAAGTAATTAGAGATATTACTTAGCACTCATCAAAACCAGATGCTAGCTACAGAACAGTAATCAGAGATATTACTCAGCTTTCATCACCCTTGATTAAGAGATCCAGAGATCATTAGAGCCCCTGAACTTCCCTTACCTCAATTTTGGCCATAGACAAGTAATTCAGAAATATTGCTTAGCCACTCTCACCTCCTTGAAAGATTTAGAGAAATCTGCGTACCTTTTATCAGAGCCCAGAGAAACCAGAGAGACTTATAAGATCAGAGAACCAGAGAGAATTTATAACAGATTTAACAGAGAAACCCTACAG